TTTTAAAAATGGCCTGTAATGTATGAGCTCATATCTTCCAAATGATGCATTTTATGAACTTGATAATAAAAAAAGTTATAGAGGATTTGATTCTATTCACAATGAGCTTTGTTGTGGGGAAAATGGATGAAGCATGTGAAAGTTATGCCTGATCAAAGTTTAGTTGACTTTTCCTAGCAAATCCTAATTTAGCAAATCTTGACTTTTGATGATCTGAGGACTTTCCTTGAGTAATAATGATCAACCCTTGATCAAATGGTGAATATCACTTCAAAATTTTGATGTTGACCAAAAATCTTGCAGTTTGACTGTATATTGACCACAGTTAACTTTTGACCTAATATAATTGATTTTCAGTCATCTGAGCAATTGACTGAGCAAACTTGTGATGCAAGGCATGAAAATTGGCATGAGAATTCTTGAGGACATATTAGGAACCATGGAAATCACTTGAGGCTTTTGAAACCCATACTTCTTTGTGAAAAGTGAAACCCTAGTTAGAATTTCATTGCTTGGGAGGAGAATTTGTCTGGTCAATTCTTGGTCAACCTTGAGCATTTGAGGACCTCTAGGAGTATGTTTTGAATAAAATGAGAGGGAAATTTTTTGGGGTACAACAGTAAGTATCAAATATGTTGTGTTAAATAAGATTATAGCTGCCAAATGGGTGCCTACAAAACACACCTTCTCAGTAACTACATGTTTAGGAAAAATTCATTTTTATAGTTGGAACAAAAACCAAATTTGATTTTGGCAACTATGTATTTGATCAGACTATTAGGCATGCTATTTCCTATGTTGTGAAAATAGCAATTGTCTTTCTTACCCTCATTTGTGGCATAACTTTGAATCAACATCCTGAGATCTTGAAAGGTTCAAATAAGGAAAGCAGGAGAAAGCCTCCCTTATCCTTGCACTCCAAAAGTTTTTCAGGGTCACATGTTCAGGACATTGCTACAACATCTGATAAGAATGATGTTGGATCAACCTGAAAAGAAGGAACCATTTTTGAACTCAAGCATACTTGTAAGGAGTAGGATGAAATCATCAAAGATGCACTGCAAGAAAGACCAGATTTGAAAAGCTCATTAGGGCTTTGGAGACCAAAAAAATGTTGTTGATAAGGAATAAACAGGACAAAATATTTCAACTATAGAAGCATTGAAGGGGGAGAAACAACTAGCAACATTAATGGTTGAGGTGTTGTTTGGTTTGTTTGTTTGTTTTGATAACACTCTGTAAGGGCTTATGACCCATTTTGGTTATGTGCACTTTAGTGTTGTTATTATGAATAATGTGACGTTTTTAATGAAGTACGTGTGCTTCCACCTAGTGCTTAGTACTTTTGTTTGTTTTCATCAGCGTTTAGCTTTTGATTCCATTTTCTGCTTCCATATTTTGTTTATTGTCTTTATGAAATATGTTTTCATGTGCTCTATGTGTTTCCATTTTGTACATTTACTCTATTTCCTTTTTCTCAATATTTTGGCTATAAAGGTGGAGTAAAGTGTTGTGTCCCGATGGTACATCACATGTCTTAATATGTTGATTTAGCATATGGTAGGATTGTGTGCTACTTCTGTTTAAAGATTAGTTGTGTGTGTGGCTGCTCATGCAACTATTTAGGGGGGGCATGGTAGTCATGCTTATTCTTACCTTATGTTTGTGCTTCTACTGCTGCTACTGATGTAGCCAGTTTGTGCAAGATGAAGATGTCTTAACATATATTCCAACATACTATCTGGTGTGTTAAGAATCCTCTAGATTTCTCTTATAGTGTGGGTTTCTCCTTGAGTTTGAGCACCTATTATATGTAACACGGGGAGTGCTAACCTGTTTGTATGTGTAACTGTTGTAACTCTAATGTAGGTTGTTTTAGTTGTGGTTATATTCCTTTCTCCACGTTAATTGGCTTTTAGTTGTTTTAGCCAAAATTTGCCAAAGAGGAAGATTGTTAGTTCCATAGTTTTAGGATTGACAATAATTTTGCTAAAACATGGTTTTACTGATGTTGTGCGAGATGTTATAACATCTGCATCAACTGTCATAACAGTTCAATTGGTATGTGTTTTTTAACCATATGCCAAAGGAGGATGTCACGACATCTTGGTCTGGTACAACAGGTGCTGCTGTTTTATTTCTTGACAATATTTAATTTAATTTTCTTAGATTCCTTTTGGATATATCTCTGATTTTCGCAAGTCAATTTTTTAAAATTTTGAACACTTTAATTTATCTCCAGCTATATATAGGTTGCCAAAATTGGACTTTGAGACAATTAAGGAAACCTTGTATTGTGTTCGAAGATTCAATGAGATTTTTCTGCACAGATTGGTTGATGTGTATGCAATTGCACGAAAATATCGAAGTAATATTAAAGATTGTCGAACCCACAAAGACCAATATCAACCTAGTGTAATCTATTTGCGCTTTCTAAAGCTAAGGCTAATGAGTAATTGGATTTTAGGGAAACTAAGAACTAAAACTGAAACAAAATAAAGATTAAGATAAATATAAGAAAAGAGAGACTGAAATGTGTATTCTGTGTACCTCAGAGATTCTATAACTTGTTGGCTTATAATAATATTAAAATACTTTTCAGTAGAAAATATTGATTTGAAAGACTTTATCTCACACTGTCGTGCTATTGATTTTGACTATGCTCTTAAACCAGAATGCTTTGTTGTCGCTCACTCTTTTGAATTAAAAGTAATTTTTGAAAATTAGTAATCTCTAATTAATCCTAAAGCGTTGTCGTTGTGTTTAGGATTAATGTCTAGTTTCTACTATCCGGTTAAAATCTCAAACTGTCTCTCTATTGACCTTAACCTTATTAGCTTTTTACTCTTGTACATAAACTGTTTTAATTTTTAAAATTAGAAACTATAACCAGAAAAATAGTTTACAAAAAACAACGTCAACTATTACTGAATCTCGTCCGTACAACGACTCTTATATACTAGTATCAAACGATTTAGTCGGTCATGGAATTAATTGAAAATGAATTAAACATAACGATTGCATTTAAGAACGACATGGTAATTAAATTAAACAAACAAAGTAAAAGAAATAAGAAATGCGAAAAAAAGTAACATGTAAAAATTGAAATAAATGCAACTGGAAATAACTTCAATAATGACAACAAGATTAAATAGCTTTTTGATCCAAGTACATGAGTATAATTTAGAATTTCAAAGTAATGGTATACCAGATGCTTGATGTGAACAATATATTATTTTACAGAGTGAAATATATGCCTAATTCATACTAAAAAATTAGATCCCAAAAACCAAATCTAAGGTTCTATTTATTGTCTTTAAAACTGGTAGAAAATTTTTGCCCAAGAATGTAGGAGTGTGTGGAGAATGTGAAGGGCATGAAGACTGAGTGGAAGGAGTAAATATTGGAGATGTGGCAGGTGCCATGTGAGAGTGACAGGAGTCACTACTTCTTGATTGGACGTGGCAGGTGCCACGCTTAGTGGTGGTTGGCGTCACTCTCTTCATGTGTGGCAGGCTCCACATGTTGTGGTGGTGGGCGCCACCCTGGACCTTGTTCTTGCAAATGGGCATTTCCTTGTATTTCCTTTATTTTTACTTCATTTCTTTTCCTTTTTTACTCAAATCTCTTATGTGACCAATTTTTCTTGAAGTGCCTGAAATAGGACAATAATACCGGCATAACAAGACATAAATAAAAGAAAACAAAACAAAAATCCATGCTAGTCAAGTCAAATATACGATATAATTCCGCATTATCAAACTCCCCCACACTTGAACCATTGCTTGTCCTAAAGCAATCAACTAACACAGTAAAGGAAATGATTAAACACGATTTGAAATAAAGGCACGATACAACTCCTAATCATATGTGGCTGCTAGGCTAATGTTAGATCGATAGGTACTAAATATTCAATACCAAAGATACCGTAATGACACAATGTTCAAAGACTCCATCTTTATGTAAACCAATTTAAATCATGCCATTATAACTCAACCTACATCTCTCTCTTTTCTTTCACTCTTTTCATTCAAGCACAACCACATTAAGCTCATTATCCATACACGCACATAGTAGGGAAATCAGTTAGCGACTATGATCCTTTTTTTCTCTTTAGTATGGGGTTCTAGTATTTGTTGCACCCTAAATTTCGCTCCTAATTTTTTACTCGCACTTTCAAATCATATTTTTTTATTTGGTCACAATCATTAATAAATATCTTCATTCATCACATTTTGCATCATTAGTCGTATTTAAGTTGTCCAAAAGTAAGTCTAAATCGAAGTTTGCAACATTTTGTAGTTGAAAAATACCTGATATTTCACTTCATGCATTTTTATCTCTTTACTCGTTTGTTCCATTTCTCCAAGTTGTTTATATGTCGATAATATTAATATTTCCGTTTTATAGTCAGACTTTTAAAATCGATTTGATACTGTGCAGAAAATTAGCGAGAAAAATATTTCAAGTTTCACCTTTTACTGATCATTTTATGAATCTGCGTTTCGCGTAGATTATTACGCTACGCTTATTTTATTTTTTTGGGTACAATTTGAAGTCTCGTTTTTAATCGTAAGCGTCTGTTCAACCTGATATTTTTATTCTCATTTTATTTTGATTTTGATCATTTGAATATTTTTTTCATTAATCTTTGTGACATATAGATCATTTTAATGTGTTCATTTCATTTTTTTATAGATTAATGTCCTTTCTTTTTTAGTCATTTTGGGTCTCTATGTTTTATTCAGAAAAAAAATCATTTTAAATTGCATTAATTTTTGCCCTTTTATATTTTTACGTCTTTTCTATTTTTAGAGAGCTTTTTAGTCATTAATTTTTTTTGTTAAAATAAACTTTATTCTCATTGGTTGTATGAGAAAGTGCAGGATCGATACAGAAAAGAAAAAAGAGCTAGCGGAGTTGCAAACTGAAATAAATTTCCTTTTCATTCTTTCTATATCAACAACTTCTTTATTCTTTGTTTTGATAACACAAACAACAACCCACAATCTCAGCATAACCCCTCTACTCCACACCATCACACTCACCTCTCCTTCTGCCCTTCAGTTTCCGCGAGATTCATCAACATCCCCTTTCATCTCTTCTCTGCATCCGTTTAATCTTCATCCATTCAACCTCCATCACCCTCACCGTGATTCCGCTCCGAACCACCCTCCATCAATCTACCAGAACACCAAACTTCTGTACCATTACCAAATCCAGACCCTTCAAACTCCATCTCTCCCTCGACATCTCCCACCGCCAATCCACTCCTTCCGCTCTGCCAGCCGTTCCGGAAGCAACTGCATGCAAATCACGACCGTTGTCCCACCTATATCGTCGTCTGTCACCTTATTCCAGCCTCTTCTACCCCGCGCGCGTAACAGACTCCATACTCCATTCGTATCTCATTCAATGCCCAACTACACCATCAAGCCATGACACTCTATTCTGCTCACACAAATCCTCACAGGCATCCACCAACACAAGCCATAAATCCCCTTTCATGTTTGTTTCCTTTCATGTGTTATTTTTATTTTACTTTAGAATTTGAAGTAAAATTGAAGATTAAATTTAAATTTTTTTATTTAGATTTTATAAGTATTTTGGTATGTTAGTTACATATAGACATTTTGATTTGCAATAGATAGGTGTAGTTCATGTTAGATTGCATAAATAATTCTTAATTGATCCTATTAGATAATATTTTAATAGAGATTAATTTTATTTTATTTTAATTTAGTTATGAAAAGTATGTAAATAATTTCAAATTATGTTGCAATTTTTTTGGGTTTTATATATTTTTTTTGTGTTAATTAATTAAATCAAAGAAGCCACTTGTCTTTCAAATATTGGTCGGTCTCAATTTTTGAAGGGTATGTTTTTGGGTTATCTGACATTAAATATTGATTTCTCCTTTAGTGTTTTCTCTTAATTTTCAAGTTTGTTTTAGTTACATTTTGTTTTAATTAGGAGACATGTGACAATAACTTTTTCTTGGAGGGCTTTAAATTCCCTTTTCCTTGGCCCAAATTATTAATCTTGTCACCTATATACTTATTTGCACCTTCTTTATTTCTTTCTTTTCATTTTAGTCATGTAATTGATGTGAATAATAATTATAGACGAATTTTTTGGGTTTATATTTTATTCGATTTGCATGTAAATAATTCAAGTAGTGTTGCCTATTCAATATCATTGTATTGCGACTTTGAATTTTAAGCTCGGTTTATCTCTCGAATACGCGTGAATGTATAAACTTCATTGACCAACTTATTTTATAAATTTCAATTTATTTCATTTCAGTTCAGCAGCTTATTTTCGTGCCTTATCTAAGACATTCAAAATATATCCCTGTTATCCTGGTTTTGTCTGGTTGTTTGAAATTTTATCTGATGTAGGGATTCATATTTAATACTTAGAGCTCTTATCTGATATCTTGATGATCATATAATGCCTTGATCTTTATCTGACATATTGTGTTATATCTTATGCTTGGAGTATTATCTTACATTTGGGTTTTTGTGATGCCGTCGGCTTATGATTTATTTTCACCTGAGGTTTGATATACTCTTAGCTTATTTATCTGTCTGTGGCTTTATACCCAAAGAGATGGAAACACTGTATTAACTTTATCATGTCAAGTACTGGTTTCTTATTCAGTCAGATCCTCTTTACCTTATCTTTTAACCTCCTGTACATAGGATACTCTCTTCATCTTCTCCCATTCTCTAATTTTCAAAACCTTCTCATCTTTTTTTCAAAATCTTCTTTGTTTATAAAATCAAACCGCTTTCATAATAAACCTCGACTTTTTCGAGTGCCTTTTCTTTTAAAACTTCTTTTTGTAAAAAAACTTCAATTCACTTAATCATACTTTGACATTTCTTTCAAAATTAACAAAAACAATTCAACTCATTCAAACCATTTTTGTGCGCTCGAGCAACTTTTATCCTTTAAAACTTTTTTCAAGATTAGACATGATTCATTTATAGTCGATCAACATTCTCCTATCTCCATGGTTATAAAGGTGTCGACTCTTCCACTTGAGTACTAGAGGTGTTCTCAAACCCTCACTTATGCTGACGCAAGTCCATCTTTCTTACACCTTGTGGGCGTTAGTTGAGATTTCTCTCCTAAAAATGAAGACTTGTCTCTTCTTTTAAAATCAACCAACAGATAAGTCTTTTCTAGCCGAACTACGATCTCTGACTTTCCCAGTGCACGAGGGAGTACGTTGGCACTACGTCTTACGACTCAAGGCATGTAAAAATAACAAAAAACTCTTTCTTTTGTGTTCAAATACTCATTCATTCTTTTCGTTTAACAAGTAAACATTTAAATAACACACTCTTTGAAGAAATCCAAACAAAGTGGATCTTACGGAGTACCATAGATGCTTAGGGTGCTAATATCTTCCCTTTGCATAACCGACCCCCGTACCTCGATCTCTGATATTTTATTTCATTGTGGGTTTTGTTCGCTTTTTTCCCATTTCCCTTTGGAAACAATAAAGTGCGGCGGAGACTTCATTATGTTGAGATAAGTCAATTGATGGCTTAATCTTAAATCTTTACTTCTACATCTTCTCATTTTTTGCATGTGTTTTCACATGGTGCATACAAATTTTGGTGTCTTCACTGGGGAGTCTTTCCTAAGTGGGTCAATCCTAGCTTTGTTTGTTTCTTTTCTATAAGTGTGCATATATTGTTTTACTTACTGTTTATTACTTCCCATTATTCTATATATATGTTTGTTTGGATATTCCTATTTTTTCAGGGTGTTTGGTGATTTCACATAAGTCCTCTACCCGGACTTGGGCAAACTTAAGATAGGACGGGATGTATAATCATGTTAACTTTGAGGGAGTAATCCAAAAAAGGGAGGCATGAGATCCTTTACTCAGTGGAGGCCCCTTTGACTATAGTTTCATTTACCGAGTAATCTGGAGGACATGCTGCTTTCGACCTGGGAGCCTGCTGAAGCTGAGGACTGTAGAACCCTTAACCCAACTTATCCTATTAGGTGTAGTATGGAAGCTACGACGGACTAATCCGAAAATGGTTGTCACGCGATACTATGCTCAGACGAGTTTTTCCTGAGAATATTACTAATTACTGAGTTAATCGGGACATTAGTAATATCCAATGGAAGGATGTAGACTCTGGGAACCTTTTAGAACCTTTGTTTGGAAGGTGATAATCGTTAGTACATACCTTATATGTTGTACCTTTGACTCCAGGCCCGTGACTCTAAACCATGTGATCATGTTAATATGCAGTGTATTTCATAACATTGCATATCATTTGCATCCTCTGCATCATTCTACAATACATCCAGGTTTTTCAAGATCTCATTCTCGATTGTTTCCTTCTTCCAATTAGTCATCTACCGTCAAGCTAATTCCTAAACACAACTACGGGACTAGATCTGTCGTCAGATTGAGAATGGAAAACCAAGAACAACACAACTTGGAAATTAGAATGGAAATCGATGAGTTGAAGTCAGGCATGACCAAACATACTGAGATGATGCAACTCCTGATTTCCTGAGGAGAGCCACCTTAAAGGACTGCGATATCTTAAATCCCAATTGCTGCTATTAACACTCAACCTATCCAACATACATCTACTACATGGCCAGAGTTTGAGATGCCTCATAACTACTCTCCTCCTGTTGCAATTACTTTAATGGTTGGCATGTCTTCCCGACCAGTCTTTTAGGCTCCAATTTTCACTTAACCTCAACCAATCATTCATACTGCTGCACAAGCTGCTTTTAGGAACCCACTCTTTGAGTACCATGCTGCCAGTCCTCGAAGTGTGAGTCAGGGAGACTTTGGTGAGTTTGAAGAGTTCAAAGAACAATATCAGACTTTAGAAAAGAGACTCCGAGCTATGGAAGGTAATGATGTCTTTGGTATTACTACTGAAAAATATGTGCTAGTTTCTGATCTGGTTATGCCTGCAAAGTTCAAGACTCCCGAGTTTGAAAAGTAAAAGGGGCATACTTGTCCAAGAAGCCACTTGGTGATGTACTTTCGAAAGTTGTCTACTTACACAAAGAATGACAAGCTGCTTATCCATTATTTCTAAGATAGTCTGAGTGAAGCTTCATTGAAATGGTATATGGGACTTGAGAAAGGCCGTATCCAATGCTTCCAAGATCTTATTGATGCTTTTATAAAGCAATACAAATACAACCTTGACATGGAACCTAATCGTCGCTAACTGCAAAATATGTCTCAGAATGAGAAAGAATCTTTCAAGGAATATGCTCAATGATGGAGATAATTGGTATCTCAAGTTGAACCACCTCTGGCAGAGAAAGAGCTAACTGGATTGTTCATGGATACTTTTTCTCATTTATTTTGGGAGAAGATGATTAGTAGTGTGTCCTCCAGCTCCACAGACCTGGTGACTATCAGCCGAAGGTTAGAAGAAGGAATCAAGTATGGTAAAGTGTCTAAAGCTATTGAATTTTCTAATGGTGCAAAGAAATACTTTGGAAACTTTCATAAGGAGAAAGAGCTAGAAGCCAATGCTGTATCGGCTGAGAGAAGAGGATCCCACTATAGGCCTCAATGCACTGATCATCCACAAGTAGCGGTTATTTCTCATGCGGTCAATGCTCAATCAGTTCAGGTTCCCCAATGACATAATACTGCACAAAATCATAATCGTAATAGGGGTCAATTTAATCCCATCCCTATGGCATACACTTAATTGTATCCTGCAAAGGTGCAGAAGGGCTTGATTACAACTAGGCCTTTGATTCCTCAAAATCCTCATCCATCCGGTTTCAGATCTAACCTTCACTGTGAGTTTCATCAGGGAACTTCCAGTCATGATTTAGAAAGCTGATATGCATTGAAAAACAAAATGAAAGAATTGGTGAAAGCAAATATTCTCACTTTCAAAGAGGCAGGTCCTAATGTCGTCAACAATCCTTTGCCAAAATAAAGGGGCTGAAGACTGAGTCGGGGTACCCTCAAGTCACTTCCTAAAGCCAGTGTTTCATAAAGGACAACTCATCCTTGTTACTGATTAGTCACTAGGCCATGTTTCTTTCCATTTGCTTTTTCCTTTAATTGTATTGACTATTCCAAATTTTGTTTATACTTCCATGTTAAGTTTAATGAAATGAGCATTGCAATGTTTTGATTCAAATCATTTTCATTTATTGATTTCAAATATATTTCTCTTGTTCAATTTCTTTCTCAAACTTTCATTTATGCAAAGATTTGAAGAAGGATGATGAAAAAGAAATACCCATAATTGTTGTTGGTATGCTTTCGAATAAAAATTTGCCGAGGATGTACATGCATTGTTTCAACTTCCAAACACCGGAGAAATAAGGAAGTTAATCCATCGCTCACCCCTTTGAGCCTAGAAGTTAGAGTTTCTTTCTATACGAAAACAACCCGTAATCTTAACCTGGGG